TAAGAGAAACATCGATGTGAGAGACATCAATTGTTGAGTTGGCTGGGGGGATAGACCCTGCCACCCAGACCCTTGACTGGAACCGAACCTAGGCCCCTTCAGTGCATGGGCTGAAGCTCTAACCATTTAGCGCACCGGCCAGGGCAAAATCCCACCTTCTGTTGTTGCTGCTGCAGTTATGGTGGTTTTGAGGATCCTTACCTGTACTGACTGGCTTCTAGGGGTGTCACAGGGGCTTGCGTGAAGTTTAAGCTCCCCAAATAATGGGGTCCGGTTTAGTGAAGTGTGAGTGGTCCCCAGGAAGTGCTGGTACTGACATGACCCAATTCTTCCATGCTCGACCCTCCTCTCTAACCCCACCTCCACCCCCAGCAGCATCTAGCTCTCTGGAATCCCAGAGTTTGACATCTGGGAGAGTGGGCATCATTTTAAGCAGACTTGGGTTTCGTTAAGATGGCAGCCCCTCGGATTCAGAATTTCAGACCCACGGCTTTGGACAATGATTAAGTTTTGATGATTACCATCCGCCAAATGCAACCTGTTCGAAAAGGATGCATGAAATCAAATTCCCTCCTAGAGCGAGAAAGGGAAACGTGTCCTTGGGCAGAAACGTGATGGTTCCAGATCGGAGTGCAGCATCACAAGGCAGCCTCTCCCCATTTCCCAGCCTCAGCCCTCTCCCAGGCTTTGTCTCCAGCCCGCCGCGCTGCCCCTGTCCCTCTTCCCCGAGATGGTCTGCTCCGCCCAGAGGGCCGCGCCGCGCTGCGAGTGGGCCGGAGCCTCCGCGGGGGGCCAGGAGCCCCGGGGAAACAATGCGGGGTTCTCCCCCCCCCCCCATCGGAGCCTGGCCTTTGTGTGCTCGGCCCCGGTACCTCCTCCCGGTCCCCGGGGACCTCGGGCTGCGCTGTGCACCGGGAGGTCGGGCATCACCGCGCCCCGGCACCTCGCGGGCCAAGAAGCTCGGGGACGATGCCGGCTCTCTGGACCGCCCGCCTCTCCCTAAAGGATGTGGTGTGTGTCCGGTGTCTGTCCGGTGACGGGGCCCGGCCGGACCCCCGTGTGGAGGCCGAGCCTGGCGCTGCCATGTGCTCGGAGGCTGCAGAGCTGCTCCTGCACCGCCTCTGCCTCTCCGGCTCTTATCACAGCCTGCACGCCGCTTCCTCACCATCCAGCCGAAGAAGGAGCCCGTCTGCATCTCGTTCTTGCCCGGCCTGTATCAGGAAAAAAAAAAAAATGTATTCTTAAAAAAAAGGGGGAAAAATATTTTTTTTTTTTTTAAAAAAAAGAAAGAGAAAGAAGGGAGGGAAAAGAGGTTGCCATCCAGTGGAGGCAAGAGTAAATTCCCAGCTTCATTCAGGAAAAAACGCAGGCTGCAATATGCTTCCCTGTTTTCCCTTGGCTGGGCCTTTTTTCTTTCTTTCTTCTTTTTTTTAATCACCAGAAGGGTTTTTTCAGTGACATCCGGAGCCAGGAGGGTGCGTGCGCCTTTAAGGGGGAGAAGCGCCGCACCAAACTTCGCTGTAGTTGTAGCTCGCCGCCCGCCCGCGGAGGGCAGGAAAGTGTTAATTTCTTATTTGTACACTTTTTTTCCCCCCCGACTTCCTTCCTATTCACTTCATTAAATCTAGAGGCAGTTTCGGCATGGGAGCCGTCTGTATGTTGAATTAGGGCTCTCTCGCACTCTTGCGCAACACGTCACCAGTCGGAAACTGGGGGTTTGCTTCTGTGATTTATTTCATTATTGTGCTGGTAAAAGGTTTGGGAGGGAAATCTTGCGGGGGTAGTGTACTTTAGCATTTGTGTAGCAAGTTTTCTTTTTTTTGTGGGCGCCCCCCTCCCCTTCCCTTAGCACTTGAGTCAGTGGAGCCAGTGGAATAAGTAAAAATTTTTTTAAAATTAAAGAACAGTTTGAAATGTCCAAGAATAATTTGACTTAACATGCAGGAGTAATCTTACTCCACTCTTTTTTTTTTTTTTTAAGTGCTAAAAGCACCGGGAAATATTTAAGAGAATTGATTTCCATTAGAACAAGACCCTTAGAAATCCCTCTACAACAAGCACTGCATATGGATGTTTGGGGTCTTGGGGGGGGAGGAGGGAAGGATGTTTGTAGCTTGTCTGCATTCCTGCATAAAAGCCTTACTTTTAAGGGGAAGAATGGTCAGTACTTTGTGTGTGTTTCCATGTGAATCCAAAAACCTAAATTTAATAAGAATCTGCATGTATTAGCAATGGTAATAAAAATTATTTTACTAGTTCTTTTTGTAGTTTAATTGGTTTTTTGCTTTTTAGCTACTTAGGTTTAGAGATTTAACAGTCCAGCTATCTCTAGCTTATGCTTTGTTTCCTCCCCCCCACCACCCATTTTTTTTTTTTTTGCAAAGTTAAGGGGAGGGGGGAAAGAGTAGAAATATTCCTTCACAACTTCCCCCCCTTCGTTTAGCCCACCGAAAAGAAAAACAATGAAAAATTTTACAGCATGAAACTGAAAGTGAAGTGCCACGGTTGTTCAGGGTTTTTCTTTAAAGAACAGAATAACATATTTTATGAAAATATTTATACTTAAGAACATGCACATTGCTTTTACTGACATGCATTTAATGAAAAAGAAATTCCTTTATTAAGGAAAAAAAAAATCATCTTAGACTGCTCCAAAACCACGCAGCTTGTTTTATGAAAAAACCCTAAAAGGAGGTTTCAAATACAAAAAAGAAGCATACCTTGTTTTAATTTTTGAAAGTAAATTTGAATATTAATTTGTTCCCTTATCAGCTTGTTAACATGCAAGTAAGAATCAGGAACCGCCTGAGCTAAAAGAGAAAAAAAAAAAATCTCTAATTCTGCTGCCTGAAATAATAAGAGGAGAAAAAAAAATATGATAAGTAGTTGTCAATATTAAAACAGGCTGAAGGAGGAAGGTTTCGGGCCTTGTGTAGTAGGGAGAATGAAACAGCAGATTTGAGTATCCACAATCCTTTCAGTATTAAATTTTCAGTGAAATAAAATTACTTGTATATGAAAACATAGCCTTTCCCCAGCTCTCTTTTTTTTCCTGATCAGCTGATGAAGAGACTAGCAGCTCGCTGCTTTGCTGGCTTGTTAATTTTATCCCCACTAACTGTGATTTCCGATAGCCGGCCTGCTGATAGTGGTAAGGTAAATATCCTTTTTCGTTGCCGTCTTGAAGATTCAGTAGAACTACATCCCGGGCATGTGTAGGTGTGTAACACATCCAAAGCCGGTGGTGTTCTCCGTGTTTCTGTGTGCAACTGGGTGCTTGGGAGCAGTACCATTAACTGTTGACAGCCTTGCATGCTGTATTTATTATTAGCATGTTCAGCCTCCAAGATTTGCGGGGCAATTTCCTTTTCTTAATCTTCGCTTAGCTGCAATGTGTTTAGCTGTATAGTGGGTGTCCTGCTTTTAGGCAAATTAATATTAATGAAACGATATGTGGCTTTTTTTTTTTTTTCTCTTTTTTTTCCTCATAATTCATCAGATCTCGCCTTCTTCATAATGGTTATCTGAACGTTGTAGGATCGTGATAGAAATTGTCTTTTGATTATTAAGGCCTAGGCTCGGACTGTCCCTCAGGACTCTGTCGGTGTGCATGTTGCTTCTGTGGGTTTGCACATGGGAAGATGCATAGAAAACAGATTTTAAATGCCACAGGCATTTTTTTTTTTTTAAACATGCCAGGTTGTTGTGTGTTCTGCACCAGGTTTTCTTCACAAAACCTTTCTTTTTCAGGAGGCATTGTACACAAGTGAAAGAAATTATGTCTGAGCTGTAATCACTCTTTATATTGATTGTTATACTCACATGATCATAAATATTAGCCATGTTTGGTGCTGTGGAGAAATGAAGGTAATTGCCTTATGATTAGAGCTCTTTCAGCTACGAGAAAGGATTGATTAGCATTTGCATACTGGAGGCAATATTGAGAGGCAGGAGGAACAAATAACATCAGTTATTTTGTGTGAGAAGGCAATCTTGAAATATAATTTAAAGGTTTTAAAAAATATTTTTCTTTCTGTGGTTAAATACTCTTATCTGTGGTGGTTTGGGTTTTTCTTTTTTTTTTTTTTTTTCGTTTCTTTTGTGTCCCACCCACCCCCACCTCTGTTTTTTTCTTAAGTTTTGAGATTTACTAGGGGGGGAAAAAAAGTTTAAACTTCTGGGTCTGTCACATGGATCTTTTAGCCATTTATGAACAGGTTTCTTTTATGCCTGGTTGTTTTTATAGCTATTTTATTATCTCTCTGCATTAGTGCTGCTGGCTCTGGTTTAAAGCAAGCATTGGCAGGTAATTGGGGGAAAAAAGTGTTTGTTGTTTGTGAGTGTGTGTGTTCTCCATCGGATGATTTAAGTGCGTTTACAAAGGAATGTGGCTTTGTACTTCTCCGTTTCCTTGTTTACGAATGGCTATGTTAGAACAAAAATCTGGATGCAATTTTGATTTATGTTGTGAATCATGCATAAATGGATGTAAAAATCTTTAAAAAAGAAATGGTCGATGCTTACATGATTGCAGGGATGTATTCTTAAGGAATTATTTTTTTCTTCACTCATTCCCCCCCCCCTTTTTTTCCTTTTTTCTTTTTTTTAATTATATATTTTCCTCTCTTACAGTGTTGAGACAGTTAAGGTCTTTTTCTTCTATTGAGCCAAAATTTCAGTTGGATTCAGTTACCTTCAGGCACCTGAATGTGCAAATCTTCTCATAATTGTCATAGCCTTCTTTACTGTTAGTGTTTTCAGGCCTTCAACATATTTTGCTCATGTAACCGGCTTGGGTTAAAGATGCGTTTTATTCAATATGGTGGTCTTCCCTTTTTCTTCCTACCCCACTGATTGCTGTTAACTATTATTTTTTGGTTAGTTTCATTTTATCCTAATGAATTCAAATTCTGTTTGTGTGTATACATGTATGTACGTATGTATGTATGTATGTGTTATCCTCTTGTCTTGAATTTTTCTCCTCCGTTCCTTTTCAACAGGCCATTGAAGACGGCAATTTGGAAGAAATGGAAGAGGAAGTACGGCTTAAGAAACGAAAAAGACGAAGAAACGTGGATAAAGATCCCGCCAAAGAAGATGTGGAAAAAGCTAAGAAGAGACGGGGTCGCCCCCCCGCAGAGAAGCTGTCACCAAACCCCCCCAAACTGACAAAGCAGATGAATGCCATCATCGATACTGTGATCAACTACAAAGACAGGTGAGTGTCTCTCCCCTTCCCCCTGGTCCTCCTCACCGAGACCCTGGGCCCGGCCGCGGCGGAGCAGGCGTTACTGGGGTGTGCAGTGGGGCTGGTGCATCCATCCGACTGAGCGTTCTGTGGCTCTTGCTCAAAGGCCTGTTCAAATTGGCCACCACCACTGTCTCGTCTGATGCTTGATGGCTGTTTGGAAACAGGAGTGTAGATTACAAAACCAAGAATACAGTCTGAACTGGAGAAGGATTCTTAGGGATCTCTGAAATAACCATCAGGGATGTGGAAGGGTCGAAACCATAGAGGGAAATTATACTTCCGGGTTGAGTTGTTAGAAAAAGAATGGTCCTGGCACATTTAACGTAAATATTTCATGTTAAGACTCTGTTTACAACCAAACAGGTGCTTCATCGAAGTTACCTCTCCTCCTTTCCTCCCAACATTTCTGGACTGTCTAGTCTGACCACTCGCTTGAGCTATCTTCTTCTCCCCACTAATGCTATGTAGACAACATATGGGAAAAAAATTGCCCCTTTTTCTTGGAACTTTTGAATGTGCATTTTGAGAAATCTGTCCTGGGTACTCTCCCCACACCATTTTAAACAACGAACAATTATTTGAAAACCAAAGCAGAGGTGCTTGAGGGTATCAGCCCCCTATAGTAGATAAATCTAGTTTAGGCTGCATTCTGGTGAGTTGATTTGGTGTCCACTTGATCATCATGTCATGCAGTTTTAATGGGACGATCACATCTCATTCCTATGAAAAAAATTGATAGGAAACAAAACAAACATTTTATTTCTCTAAATTGCATATGGTATTGATCATTTTTAGTTAGCAATATATATATATATATTTTTAATTTTATTTTTACATTGACTAGTGTTGCTCTGTATTTCTGGAAGTGTTTAAAATGAAGAACTAAGTTGTGATCTTAGTTTTTCATTGTGACTTTAGCGAATGTGTTATTCTAGGAAGAGAATGTCATTTTAAAGATTAAATAGTCACAAAAGCAAGAAACTTTTAAACATGGGGTCTTATTGTTAAGTTTTTATTACTTACTATATATTGTTGTTATTTTTCAGAAGTGGTGATGAGTGAGTGAGTGGGAGGAGGTGTATGTGAAGGGTCAGAATAACTTGCCCCTCTTTACCGACCAGGTCTTGTTGGTCCCCTGCTTCCCAGTTTTACTATCCGCCCTACCCCCTTTGTTTTTTTTTCCTTTTTTTCAGAATTCTGAAGTAGCCGTAGGGGACAGCCCTGTTATATTGGGTCTGGGTGAGCTACTTATTGACACAGGGGAATGACAGCAATTCAGGGAGGAAAATTTGGCCAAATGTCCATTCTTTTACTACGTGAACAGCAAACTTCCTTATAAACCAAGAGTCAGTAACTCTGTCAAGTTTCTCTTTACCCCCAGCCCTATGGGTAGGTTTGCAGAAGGCAGGAACAGGTTGCATCCAGGAAACGGGCTTGGACTGTGACGCCTTATTTTATTAGCCCCTGGTTTAAAGAACAAAAATGGAGAATGTCACTCTGTATATACTTCTGACTCTTCTTGCCCTTTGTGTCTCTGACCAGGTGTGCCTGTGTCTCTGACAGGCATCTGGTCATTACCGGTTGTGAGTGAGGGTAAGGCCGCTATAGTGCTGAGAACAGCCAAGGAAGTCCTGGGAGGCCAGGCCTCATATTCCCGGGATGGCTATCTCCTGCTTCATGGCATGAAAGAGGTGACCAGCCAGTGAACCACAGATGGTTTTATTTCGTATTTCACATAGTTGGTTGGTTGGTTGTTTGTTTTTTAATATATTTTATTGATTTTGTACAGAGGGGAAGGGAGAGAGTTAGAGAGTTAGAAACATCGATGAGAGAGAGTCATCAATCAGCTGCCTCTTGCACACCCCCTACTGGGGATATGCCCGCAACCAAGGTACATGCCCTTGACCGGAATCGAACCTGGGATCTTTCAGTCCCCAAGTTGACGCTCTGTCCACTGAGCCAAACCGGTTTCGGCTAGTTGGGTTTTTTTTTTTTAAAATAAAACTTGGGAGGTGGTGGTGGCTGTTCTACCCCCTTTTTGAAAAACCTAAATATCTGGCAGCAATCTACCCAACTTGCCCTCCAGCAGCAGCTGCTCAGGGTGAGGAAGTGGCTGCCTCCTCTGCCGGCTGTCTGTCGTGCTCTGGTTGGTCACAGTCCCTGTCACTCACGCACGGTCCCTCCTCCAGGAGGAGTGCCCGTTTCCGTGCAGCACCAAGCTTCTCACACCTGGCCCCCTCCGCTCCTCCCCATCCCCTGCTGGCTCCACAGCCTTCGGAATGTGTGACAGGGATGTCCATGGCTGTGGGCTGACCGCTTTCCTAGAAACCACCCCGAGAGGCATAGGTCAGGCCACTTAAAGGTCAGCTGGGCGGAGTGCGGCCGTTGAGAGCACCAGCTCCTGTCATGTTTCATTTCTAAACATAAAAGTGAGGGCCAGTTGGATTTAAAACTTACATGTAAAAGGTAAAAAAAAAAAAAAAAAAAAAAAAAAAAAAAAAAAAAAAAAAAAAGATAAATTGAGAAAATGATTTTCAAATTTGACTACATCAACATTTAGAACTTGTAGAGATTTTTAAAGAACAGTCTACAAGATATGTGTTTTCACCATATACAAAAGGGTAATATTTACAACAAATTAAGACTACTCTGTGGCTCAATAAGAAAGATAAGAGCATTCTGATTTAACTACGTGTGTTTGAATCCTAACTCTAGCATTTCCTGGGGCTGGGGGGTGAGCAATTTACTTAGCCTCCCGGAGCCTCACTTTTCTTATCCACAAAATGGAATAATTACTCACCTGTCTCTTGAGGTGTTAGAGGATTTGATGAGTGAGTACAGCTCAAGGCTTTTGGACAGTTTAATTAGGAATAATTAGCCTTTCAGACTGTGTATAAGGAGCCACGGGGGTGAGTGGGGCTCGGCGCACAATAGTCAGTGTCCTTGCTGACAGGTTTTCCATCTTTTTCTTTCCAGAAAACACACTTTTTGGGGGACTGGCTATTGAGCAAGCTTTCAGTTGTGTAGTAATGGAAGGAGAGTTACATACTTCAGCATGCAGACATTGAGTAGTCCCCTCAAAACTCCCTCTGGTTTTATTTATTTATTTTACCTTTCCTTTGAAAAGTACCCCTCTAAGGTCGATTCTGTTAGCTCCCACATTTTAGGCACATGCTAGGGAATATGCATGAAATTTCCCACCACTGCGTGTTTCATGTACATTTCATGTCAACAACCCTCTAGAAAAAGCACTTACTCTATTTATACTTTCTTTTTTTTTTATTTCTCTTACCAAACTTGGTGTTCAAGTAGGAGGCGCTCAAATTAGGAGGGCTGTAATTAGATATGTTGTCATATTTTTGGTTGGATTTAGAACACGCTGCTGGGAAACGTACCTCTCTCTCCCCGTGTGTTCAGATTTTTGCATCCTTAAAGTCAGCTACTAATATAGTAACTCAGCCTGCCCGGGAAGGAAGCACCACCTGTGCTAACCTGCCTCCCGTCACCCCGGTCCGTGTGAGAGCTCCGTAATGGGTGCAGAGTAGCAGTGTAGTAGGTAGGACCTGCCATCTATGTTTAATTGATATGTAAGAACTAATTATCTCTCATGAGACTGTTTCTCACTGCCGCCCCCGCCCCCCAACCAGGATGATGTACGCATCTGTTGGTTGCCTTTGCTTCCGGCACCAGGTCTCATTTTAAAAGGTCACCCCAAAGAGCCAATGTTGTGGGGTTCATCTTTCTGCAGCGGTTGCTATTGAGGTAGCGCTGGTCTGCTGTTCCGGGTTCCCACCGCCCCACTGTTTATTTCCCCAAACAGAAAACTCTGTCCAATAGTGTCAGAGGGCTTCGCTCTGACTTGGTTAGCATGTTTTGTTTTCTGTTGATATAGGAGACTTTTAAAACCATATTCTCAGTTTCTGTGATATTTATCCTAAGACTATTTCTTTTCTTTTCTTTTTCTTTTTTTATCGTTAAGACTATTTCTTTGAAAATGAATTCTACCTGATTTGCATCTTGTACCCTGTAGGCATTGTCCCCGGGCTGAGATGTAGAACATGATGCTGAAGAGTAGGGTAGGGTAGGACTATTCCAAGTTTAGAGACGTGGCTTCTAGTGTTGACCTGAGAAAAGAGAGATTCCTAGAGTGATTTTTTTTTTTTAATATACTTTATTGATTTTTTTTTTTTTTTTTTTTTTTTTTTTTTTTTTACAGAGAGGAAGAGAGAGAAGGATAGAGAATTAGAAACATTGATGAGAGAGAAACATTGATCAGCTGCCTCTTGCACACCCCCTACTGGGGATGTGCCCGCAACCAATGTACATGCCCTTGACTGGAATCGAACCTGGGACTCTTTAGTCCGCAGGCCGACGCTCTATCCACTGAGCCAAACAGGTTTTGGCACCTAGAGCTATTCTTAATGTTGGGAGGGCTTTTATCTCTGCCTGGTCCAACTTCCCACAACCCATCTGTCGTCCAGCCTCAGTGTGGACATGCCCGGCATTAGCTCCAGTGTTAGGAGACAGGCCACCACTGAACACAGCCGCCATTTCCTGCATTAAGATGGATTCAGTCCCCTGACTTCTGTATGTTCTACTCAGACCTTCGGAGAGTCAAAGAAATGTCCTTTAAAACATCTGTAAACACATTCACCCCAGGACATCCTTCTCCAGGCTAACACACCTCGCCCCGCCCCGCTATCCGCTATCCGGGGAGCCTACAACTTGCACTGCCCTGGTCCCGGCCTTTGGCACATTCCGCTTTCTTAGTCCCATTTAACACGTGGCACCCGGAGCTTCGCATGGATTCTGCGGGCCAATCGCAGGGTGGTTAGCTGTCTTACTCTGAACACCAGGATCCTGTTAACAGAACTCAAGAGGGTGTTAACTTCTAACAGCAGCTTTGACACAGAGTTAACTCGCGTGAACATGTGACTTGTTGGAAAACTCCTCCTCACCCAAACACG